TTTTAATAAGCTACGTTGAATACACATAATATAATGTCTATTCTCATCTAAGATGGGTACGAAATAATTTTGCCATTTAAATATATATTTATATTTTTAGTATTACGATTAAAAATATCTTCAACTTTTATTTAAATTTATTTTTTTATCAAATTTAAGAAAGCATTTTTCACATCCGTCTATTATTAACATTTCAAACCCTAATCGACAATATGGATATATATTTTATTGTAACTCTTTAATCACAATAAGTTTGAAATTGACAAATAAGGCTCCATTAAATACATTGATTCCCTGGTAAGTCATACTCAGATATAATTTACAAATCCAAAAATTTAAGGTAGCATTATTTTGTCAAACCTTGATCTATCTGTCCGAACATGTGATCAGTGAATATCAGATATATACACTTTCGTTGACTCATTAATGCAAAAATAAGTAATATATTTTTGCATCTGCTAGGTTCATACTTCTTTAGTTTTCTATTAAAGTCAAATTAAGCAAATCACTCATTCTATAAATGCAATTTTCTATGCTCGTAAGTACCAAGAATTCCATGTCTATGGTTAAAAAAATGTTTTTTTTTCTATTTTTTGTCCTTATATACATTCATTAATATTATCCCAATTTTCCACATTTTTAACTAATTAAGTAATTTTTATTTGAAAAATGGTGATTGTTTTCTAATGCAACATATCCAATTGGTAAGTCCAGGCCGGTTTTGAATTTAGTGACCTAAGTATATTGGGCTGTGGGAGTTGGTTTAGCTGTCCTATGACAAAAGGCCCCATTTTTTGATAGAAACCCAACACAACTTTGAGGCCCCGAAACTATTGTCACCTTCAAAATTGTAATGAATTTTTTTACCAATCATAATTGAAATGACGAAATGAATATCAGATCTGATGATAGAATATTTCATTTTTAATTTAAATTTTTATAACTTCAAATATTAAAAAAATTATAATGATATAATATTAAATTTAAAATTATAATGAATATCAGATCTGATGATAAAATTTAAAAATTATAACTTCAAAGATTAAAACATTATAATTATAATTACCAAAATAAATAATTAGTAAATATTCCGTTTGCTTTGCACAAAATTATCATAGTGCCTTTAATTCAACCACCATGTAGTTTCTTTCAAAAAGTTTGGAATCGTAGTCTGAGTTTTGAAATCTGAATCAAAATATTTTATATGCTTGTTTGTTAATTATTTTCCTTTGTAGGATAGTAATGGAATGGTGATGTAAACAATGTTTTAGATTGTTTAAAATAATTATATTACAAATTAGTTGGATGAATATAGCGGATTATTAGTTTTGTCTTAATTGTAAAGAGGAGGTGGTTCTGATAATTTGAAATTTAATTCAATTAATTCATATAATTATTATTAATAGATGATATTCGATAAGTTTAAATTTTAAATTTCAACACTTCTAATTTTTTTTATTCTCAAATTACTGTTTTTTTTATAAAAAAATAAAAATTTCGAAACTTTAAAATCCAAACTTCAAATTTCATCATATACAATATTGGTTCAATTTTATGCCAATTAGTTATATGCTAAATTTGATTGTGAATATAATTTCTCTTTATTCATATAATCTCATAAGGAAAAAAAATAGTCAATTGAGCGCAAAAATTAATCAAGAGAAATTAACAAATTAAAAGTATATTACAAGTAAAAAAAAAGAGAAGTACTCATCAAAGTTCAAAGGTACAATCACAAGATTTTAAAACAACTGTTGCAAACCAAATGACTAAATCAAATGGTTGATAATTAGATTTCAAAGTATAACCATTAGCATTGAAATTCAACACGCAATTAAGAGAAGTATGCTGACTGTTTTAGGTGGTTTTTCGGACTATATATGTCGGTATTTGAAAGCGATGCCTTTGGACAATATGTTTTCATGTCTGCCTTTTAATAATAATATTGCTTGAAAGAAGCTTTGTGTTGTATTGATTTTGCACGTGGTCATGAAGAATGTTTCTCTTTTTGTTCCTTTGTTTCCAAAGTTAAATGTCAAGGAAATAGCTAAAGATTAGGTTATTTGTATTTGGCCCATTTGCTTGGGGTTAGGGTTTGGTAGCTCTCCTCATATGCATGCCTTCCTAGTTACTTCCTTGGAGAAATTAAAATTGTTGAAATTTCATTTATTTGCTTCTTTGAGTTGACATGAAATAACATAATTATCAACAAGGTAATATTTTTAGTTTTGATTTAATAATTATCAACAAAGGATTTCAACAAATTTTAACTATGAAAATTTCCCCTATTTTGTTGTTACAAAAATATTTATTTAATAAAAAAGTAATTTTTTACAAAAAAAATCATAATCTGAAAATAAAAAATGTTAATGTTATGGAGATAATAAATGCATTGATAAAACAAGTCTAATAATTGAGCAAAATTTGCCCCCAATTTACAAGTTTCTACCTTTGTGCCTCATATCATGGTAAAAGCATAAGATTTATTTAATTAAGAGAATCATTTGACTCAAAAACTTACAAAAAGATGTTGAAAAAGTATATATAGAAGTACTTACAACTACTTATCCACTTTTTTTTTATTTGGAAAAATTTTTACTAACATATACATATATATATATTATATGTATATATAATATGCCCTCTCTCATAACTTACGAGCAAGACCTTTGTGTTACGCATGATCTAAATGTAATTATAAAAGATACTCCAATAAATTAATTAGTTTGAATGGAAAATCAGAAAATAACTCCATTTAATTGAGAGACATTGCTATGAAAAATTAATTAATTAATTAGTCGAGTCTAGATGTGGGCAAAGATTTGAAAGTGCTTGGGTTCAACATAATCCATAGCCATCTCTGGTTAAGATACATGCATGTGTTACATCAAGTGCTTTAAACAAGTAGATGAAGTGTTTCAATCTTACATAAGATAAAAAAGAAAATGTTTTTGAGCATATAAATGTTGGTATTACATATTTTAATAAATTGGTTTTACGAGAAGAGAGTAATAGTCATATAATAAATAGTATCAGAGGCAATTTTTGACTCATCCGACTCCACATTAATTGCCCCAACGAAGATAGGTAGGGTAAGGCCAATGTAGCCACTTAACAAAATGTCAAAATAAGGCATGGTAGTAAATTTTGACCACACCAAGCACTTCAAAGACAAGCAGACAGAATGACAGGAGTGACGAGGACGTCACGAGATTTGATGTGAAAAAATGTTATGCCAAACGTTTCAAAGGAGTAAATAAGATGCTTCGATCCCACGTCAAATAAGAAAGTAAAAGTCATTAAATATATAATTGTTAGTGTTGCACATCTTAATAAATTAGTTTTGTGAAGAGAAGATAATTATAACGTGACACATGCACTTATCATTATGTATTGCTCAAATAACATATTTTTCTTTTTAGTATTAGAGGTTATTAAGGATTGAATTAACCTCTTCACTAAAATTTAAAAGCCAACATATTATTGAAAAATCATATGAATAAATATTTTAATACATAAAAATTTAAGTGAGAGGAAACTATCTCTTTTCAAAGTTATGACATATCACACGTTTTATCGATAATTTACATAATTAAATTTACAAATCATTTACCAAAAAAGAAAATTAAAAGCGAGAATCACACTTAAATCTACTAAAAATATCGCATTTTTATCAACTTAACCAATCTCATTGGCACCGCACCAATGAAAGTTGGCTGCTCAAATAATATATACTGACAAAGAAGAAATAAGAAGGATATTATATTGATATGGGTTAAACTTGTAAAAGCATTGGATGTTTATAAATATCCAAAACGCATATTCTTTTATTAGTGTGGTATATTCTTTTACTCAACAAATATTTAATTAGATTTACAATTTATTAACAAAAAAAAAAAGCAGTCAAATGAAGAACTAGCTTAATGTTTCTGGCCATTATACATATCCTTCCTACCCAAAAGGAAAAAAACCCTATTCCTCCCCGATTTCATTCCTTCCATTTTCCGTTCTTTTGAAAAATAATTTATTTTTCTTAGTTTGGTAGGTCTGCATGTCAAAAGCCAAATCTTGAAACAGTTAGAGAAGTTATCATTTTGCTACTAAGAAATTCCTTCGGTGGGGTTGAAAACTAACAAAAGTTGAATCTCAAATTTAATTAAGTTGATTTATATAATTAATTTTAAAAAATAACATTTAATAAATTTAAATTTTAAATCTGAATATTTACATTCATTTTTCTTACTATGTTCATTGATTTAAAAAAAAAAAACAAAAGTTTATATTATTTCATGGATACCTTTGTTAATCTGATCAAACAGTCCAAAGTAGACTAGTACTAACTTTACATGTGCTTTTCGTGTCTTTCTTTTGTCTATCTTCTAATTTGTCCCTATAATTTTTTATTTTTGGTCAAAAAATAAGGTAAAAAAGTAGGATGTTTGTCGTCAAAACTGCCCTTTTTGTATCTAAAGCACAATATTATATAATATATATAATATAAAGACAAGAAAGAGAGATTCAATGTAACTTGTTTGAGGGTTTAATGAAATTTTCCGAAATTTCCAAAGGCATAGATTTGGTCAAGGTTTTCTTTTTCTTTTTTTCCTTTCCTTCCCCTTGTCAAAATCAAATACATGTCATCGCTAACTGTTTAATTCTTTTGGCCAGTCGTCGCTGATTGTTCAATCTTTCATATTTTCTTTCAATTCAACTATAGAAGTAAAAATACTTAAAAACGAAGATTCTAAATCCACACTTGGAAAAAACAGTTAGGGCCCCAAATCATTCAATTAGAGACTCTATATATACCATAGAAACAAACATTCTTAACATACAAGCCACACACACACAAAAAAAAAGTTGACAGAAAAATATAATTAGGTTTTTCCTTTTTTTTTCCTTCTTGATCGAAAACCATGCATATGCAACGTTATTCATCCGCAGCCATGATGAACTTCCATCGCAACTTTCTTGCTCGCTACACATCAATGGAGAATAAGATGGTGAATCGCCTTATGACAAACAAAGATTGTGATGTTTTCATTAATCATAGAGGGATTGACACCAAGAGGACTATAGCTACCTTACTTTACGATCACCTTTTGCGGCTGAACCTACAACCTTTCTTGGATAACAAGAACATGAAACCTGGGGATAAATTGTTTGACAACATCGATAACGCAATAAGGAATTGTAAGGTTGGTATTACTGTTTTCTCACCAAATTATTGCAAGTCCTACTTTTGCCTTCATGAATTAGCTCTTTTCATGGAGTCCAAGAAGAAGGTTATCCCAATCTTTTGCGACATTAAACCTTCACAACTTCGTGTTGTGAACAATGGAAATGTTCCAGCGAAGGATTTACAGAGGTTTAAATTGGCTCTTGAGGAGGCAAAATACACCGTAGGGCTCACGTTCGACTCATTAAAAGGGTAAGACAGTTGAATCAATATTCTTTTATTAGCTATTTATCAATTTCTTTGGCTAATTTCATTAACTTGTGGAAATCTTTTAATTAACTTTTTGTCGATGTTATATAGGAATTGGTCGGATGTGGTGACAAATGCTTCGGAAATTGTTATCGAAAGCTTGATCGAGATGGAAAGCGAGAAGCAGATGGTTAAGAGCTTGAAAAATACTCCAATGACTCTTTGACTCGGACTCACAGTTATGCTGCCGCCATGATTTTCTTCATCAAATTTTTCTTTGTTTTCATTTTCATTATTCAATTCCATGTTAATAAGCCTAAAAGATTCTTTCCTTTGTTAATCTTTGTAACTGATACTTGGACACTTTGTTACTGAAACAAGAAAAAAAACATAAATTTAAATCTTTGATTCATTTGTACAATAATAAAAAGTTGTAATAAAATTCAAATTCATGATATTCTTATTGTCATAACGATTTTGAGGACCGCTTGATAAATTTGAAAACAAAAAGAGTCATCATCACCTATTTAATAAAATCTTAAAAATAATTAAAATTTATTAAATAAAATTTTAAGTTTGTGAAAATAATTTGAGTTTGGAGTTATTACATGTAAAGAAGGATTAGTACTTCCACAACGCTTGTTAAAAAATAATACGAATTAATTATGTGTTATTTTTTGAATTTTGACAAAAATGGTTTTAAGTTTGATCTATTCCTAGTTCTCAGCAATGCACAAAGAGAGATAGTTGTAGACATCAAATTTATCCGACTTTGATCAAATTTGCTATTTTTATTAAATAATAAATAAGATAATAATATTATTATTAAATACAATAATAAAAATTTAACAAAAATACATAATACAAAAAATATAAAATATCAAAAAAATACAAAATACAAAAAAAAAAAAAAGAGGATGGCAGTGGTGCTTTCCCCGGCACCACTGCCACCATGCCCTATCCCCCACCCTTCTGATCACCCATCCCATTGGCTCCTAACCCTACCACTGCCATATCAGACAAAAACAATAAAAAAGGCATGGGGCTCGTGCTTGTGTCACGGACCTAAGGAAGAGTCATGAATCCCACATCGAACATAATAGGAGGGTCCCTGGGGTATAAAAGGGTTCACACCACCTCCGCCTTGTGAGGCACCTTTTGTAGGACAAAACCGTGAGGCCAAGGGGGCCAGAGCGGACAATACCTCACAAGAGTGTGAACCGTGGCAGGTAGGCTGATCTGGGATGTCGAAAGGGTGAATGCTTGGGTCCCGGAGCCGCGCAGGTTCGGAGCTTAAGTCTCGACCTGTGACAAGTGATATCAGAGCCAGTCAAAAACCGTTCGATCCACGTCAAGCACCTCAAGGGAGGCAGGTAGGGTGGTCAGCCTCCGTGACAAGGGTGTCATGAGGTTGGATGTGAGAGAATATCACGGACTTAAGGAAGAGTCCTGAATCTCACATCAAACATAATAGGAGGGTCCCTGGGGTATAAAAGGGTTCACACCACCTCCGCCTTGTGAGGCGCCTTTTGTAGGACAAAATCGTGAGGCCAAGGGGGCCAGAGCGGACAATACCTCACAAGAGTGTGAACCGTGACAGGTAGGCTAATCTGGGATGCCGGAAGGGTGAATACCTGGGTCCCGAAATCGCGCGGGTTTAGAGCTTAAATCTTGACCCGTGACACTTGCACCCCATGCCGAGCTTTGTGTCATGCACGACCGGAGCTCTATTTATAGAGCTCCTAGTCGAACCCAAAGAAAAAGAAGGAAAAAGGAAACCCTGCGAAAAAAAAAACATTTTGCCAAAAAAAACATAAAAAAAAAACAAAAACTTAGTCCTCCAATAAAGAGGAATCCAACGTCGAGAGCCCCTACACAAAGAAAAAAAATAAAGTCAATTTCAAAAAAAATAAAAAAGTCAGAATACCCAAAAAAATGATTTCACTGAAACTTCAAGAGCAAATCTAGGGAATTGGAGATTTCTTTTTGGTGAAAAGAAGGTCATATCTATATTCAGGGGATCGATAAGAGTTTGTGGGTGTTTTTTAAAATTTTTCGATATCAACGACGGTGGTCAGAGCTCGCCGCAGGTAGGATCATGGCGGCTGTCAAGACGGACTACCACCGGCCCTAGTCGGCCTAAAAAAAGAGAAAAAAATGTATTTTTTTCTGAGGAAAGGGGAGAGTGATAGAAAAATTTTTTTAGCACATTTTATATAAACTGTCAAAACCAAAACGACGTCGTTTCAATAAAAGACCTAAACGATGTTGTAAGCACCCAGGATCCGCGCGTCAACCCATGACTCGACTTGGGGTTCGTGCACCCGACCCGCGACTCGCTTCTCCATCAGCCTCTAATCGATCTGACTAAACGAAATCGAACCGCTGAACCTTATCCGGACTGCAACCGAACCACTGAATGCGATTGAACTGCCAAACAGAATCGCTGAACCCGACTGAACTGTCAAACCGAATCGTGCCTTGACCGGTTCGGTTCATGTAAAAAAAAATTTTTTTTAGAATTTTTTAAATATTATTTTTATTATTATTCTTAATATTTATGTATGTTAAAATGTTTAAATTTAACATAATAAATTTTTGTTGTTTTATAATAATAATTAATAAAAAAATATAATAAAAGTTTTTTATAATTATATTAATTTTAGAATAAATCTTCTAAAATAATAAAAAATAATAAAAAGATAAGAAAAAAATAAATTTTTGTCCGACGATGAGATTCAAAAGTATTCCGAGTAGTGATACCTACGAAATCTCTAGATGAGAAGATTTTTTAAAATACTACCAGCGTATTGGAGTATTTATAAAAAAATTTTCAATACAATAAAAATTTTCTTTTTTCTTATAAAATAATAATAATAAAATTAACTAATAAATTAAAAATTGGTAATAAAAAATGAGAAAAAAGAAAATTTTGTCTGATGATGAGATTCCAAAAGTATTTCGAGTAGAGATGCTTTAACAAATCCTTAGGTGAGAAGATTTTTTCTTAAATATTATCAGTGTATTGAAATATTTATAGAAAATCTTCAATACAATAAAAATTCATCTATTCTTCATTTCTTTTAAATATGAATAATAATAAAATTTAATAAAATTTTTAAAAATAAAAAATAAAATGTGTGCATCATGTTATTATTTGCATTGCATGCGTGATATAATTTTTACGAAAAGTAAATTCGGACCTTCAAGGATGAGATTCTTATGTATTTCGAGAAACAATACCTAAGAAATCTTTAAGTGAGAAAGAGTTCTTCTGATATTACCAACGAATTGGAGTATTTTGACCTAAGAATCTCTAGGTGAAAAAGAGTTCTTCTAATATTACCAACGTATTGGAGTATTTTGAGAATTATTTCAATAAAAAATGTTCTAATTTATTTTTCTCGAATAAAATTTGAATAATAAATTTTTTAAAATAAAACCAAACAAACCAATTTCCAAAAAAAAATCAAGAAAATTATTTTTTCAAACACCGAGAATGAGACTATTTTTAATCAAAATCAAAGGATAACACGTAGTTAAGTGATACCGTTTTTAAACGGACGTCGTGGGGGTGCTAATCTTTCCCCACGTATACCGACTCCCGAACCTAGATCGTTTCGCAGACCGTGAAATTATCTTTTTAATAAATTTTAATTAATTTTAAAATCTTATTAGAAGGATAAATTTTAATAGGTGGCCAATCGCACCTAACCAAAAAAGATTGGTGGCGACTCCATTTTTTGTTCTTTTATTTTCGTTTCCAAATTCGTCGGGCTGCTCCAAAACTATTACGACAAATAATGGTGGTAAATTTCGCAAGCCTTATTTCACTACAAACATTCCAATTAAGGAAGTCTATGAGAATGAATGGCCTACACAAAAATCTAAGGAAGCATGGATCTTATTTCTACGTAAGCTCACTAGCAAAGATGTGATATGAAAAGCTCTTTGAATACCTTATGGACCAGTGTTGTATGGTTGTGAAGATAAGCTTTAGGTTCTTTTCTTAAGCCTTTGGGGTACAGTAAGTTATTCTCCACCATGGTGCAAAGACAATATGGCTATAAACAATTTATCCTATCAAATTTCAAACTTAATAAAATGAAGTTCTCATATATTGAAATTTATGCCTCCATAAAGATAACCAAAGCCCTACAAGCTTGAAATATGCTTTAAAAAGAAGATAAGAGGAGACACTTAAATGAAGTTACCCTTGAGTACTTTGTATGACACATTAAGTGAGGTAAAGACATTAAAATCCCTGAAGAAACAACTCCAAATGGTCCAATGAAATCATCATCTTTTGATCTTTTATTGATAGTAAAAACCACTAAAAGAAAGCTTCAAGTTAAAAAAGATGAATTGCAGCTTGAAAACAAAAAGCTAAAAAAGAAGTTAGAGGGAAGAATGGACCAAAAGATTCACTCAAACAAGAAAAAAATGAATGGAAGAACCTTTTTTCTGATTTTAACATCACATAGTCATCCACCAATCGTGAGTTAGCTCAACTTTTGAAAAAAAATGGATAATTGCATGTAAAGATGCAAGAAAAAGATGAAGCACTCACCGAAACACAAAAGCACATCTAAAAGCTAAATGGGGTGGTGGTTGAAATTGGAACACAAATGGGTTTTAATGAAGAATGTGAACAAGCTAAGAAAACATATGTGAGAAAACATAAACAATTGGAATGCCTACTTGATCAAATCACTATGGCTACCTATAAAGCCAAAGACATGGTAGAAAAAGTTAAAGAATGGAAGACAAAGGTACCACCAGTGGGAACACATGGCCAAGAGCTGCTAGCTTTCCTTAATGAAGAGTAAGGCCAATATTGACAAATTAGAGATTTCTTTTCACAATAAATTTTAGACTTTTCATGGATGTAATATTAGATTTTGTTAGAAATAACTTTCAATTTAATAAAAAAATTTTTTTTTAACAATTGTTATGTGGTAAATCCTCCTTATTGCATCCATGCATTCATACTAGACTTGGCAATTCATATCATCGTGTCATGTAAAATACTTTATTCATGTCATATTTTACATAAAAATCACGTGTCATAGTTCATGTCGATACGAAAATATAAAATATAAAATATAAAAATTTGATTTTATTAAACCTATTTATGATTTTTTTTTAAAACTTTAAGCCATGTTATCTCCATGTCATTTATTCGTATCGTTTTTATATCGTGTCATCGTATTATGTTTCAAATTGCCAAGTCTAATTCATACATACATATCTTTCCAAA